CACCACAACAGTGAAATTCATCATTATTATGGACAGCATTTGCGGTCGACAATATGAAGCACTTTTATATTAGAGGAATAAATTTATAAATAGTTGCAAATGCAAATCGGCTGAAAGCCACAAAGCTAAACCAATATCAGTGGAAATTAGATTTTATAATGATGTACGAAACATTAGTCATGAATCGACAATGTAATTTATTTATCTGACTTTTTATTTACTATTTATGTTTGTCTACTTTTAAGAGTTTATGTGAAGAGACAATTTGAGATGCGCTCTTAAAATGCTGTATAACAGTTTCGCCTCTGTCATATTTGATATTTATGGCAGATGTTAAAAGCTTAACAGTGGGAAATATTTTGTATTTGCCAAGTTGAGGCAACAGTAAAAGCTTGTGATTTATTTGATCTAAAAAAGGGATATCGGTATTCGGAGTAATTTATTTAAAGCTCTTTAAGATACTGGTAAGATTACAATGTAAAAACCACTATATTCTGATTTCCCATTTTCAATAGATTATGAGAACAAGAAATATTGCTAAATTGCTTAGCAACTGCACCTATAGAAATTAGGGTAACCAATGCACTTTCGATCTGATATTGGGCAATCTCAAGCATAAATTCGACTTATGAGATTTAAGGCAAAAGGATATTCATTATTTAAAAGACTTTTAATTTTTCTATAGTAAAACTTTTGCAAATGCTATAATAATTCCTCATATTCTTGTATGTATCCTGTATAAGTTAAGTCTACTTCAATTTCGCAGAGTCTTCTACTTCTTAATATTCCACACATTTCCTCGTTATCGTATATGTATACAATATAAGTCAACTCTTACACTCTTTCAAAGTGTCCTCATTTTCGACTGTAGTTGAATACGTCAAGTATTTCGCAAAAGGTCTCATATTTCCTCGGAGTCTTATACTGTATAAGTTATGTTTAACATACATTCGAATAATTTCTGTTTTTACTTGTTGATTGCCGCAAAAGTTCTCATATTTCCTCGCAGTCTTATACTTGTGATGTATAAGCTATGAAAGCCTTCACCTGTTGCTATTGGTCTTTTGTCTTATACGCTCAAAGCTCTCACCACTGTAAGACTCACAATTCCCAGATGTGCTGGCAGTTGCAGCTTGTCTTATATTTTTTATTACTTGTAAAAGTCTTATACATAACTTATATTTTATCCGTTTTACAAAAGCTCGTTGGCTCGCATACTTATACAATATACTATCAGTGAAAGCATTCATAATATACTACAATTGTATTTTATAGCAAAAGCTTTGTGATTCAGTTTTCTACAGGAGCAGCAAAGCAGAGAGCTTTTCGTGAGTATATGAAAATACGTTTCGTTGAGTTAACATTTGAGCTTTCTGTGTAGAGTTGCTTGTTGAAGTTGGTGAATTCTTGTATAGGACAATATATGAGTCTTTAAAATTTAGATTTTTCATGAACTCTAAAATTATTTGAAATATTTTCAAATTAAATTTATGAAATTTTCACTTTAACTTTTGGTAAAAGAATTCTCTAAAGTTCATAAATTTTCACAAACTCTAAACTTTTGGCAACTTTTGAACTATTTTAAGTAGCATTGTCGCCCTTCGTTCGCTTTACTGAAGGCAGCTAAAAAAAAACGTTGAACTTTTGCCTAAAAAGCAAATCCAAAACATTCGCATTTCTGCTCTAGAGTGTCAAATGCACTATACTCGACTGCATATAAATATATACATACATATATAAGCCGTTATGCACTTGGCCATTTACAGTCATTTTGTTTAGCATAACTGAGCAGGTCTATAAACTATGCTTTGGTCTGGCAGTTGCAAAAACTCAGTCAAAGTTTAATTGTTTGAGTTTTTTTTTGCAGTTTTATTTATTTTTTTGTTCCGTCTGACTTTTGCTGTGGCTTTTGTTAAGACCAAAACACTCGCTTATGGGCAAAAGTGAGGTTATGTAGGTACTTGTATGCGACTGCTGTGCCAGGCACTCATTAAGCGCGAGAGCAGCTGAAGTCTGCAAAAGTTCCCTCTCTCTCTCTCACTCTGCGCCTCTGTCTGTCTGTCTCTTTCTCTTTAGCGGCTAGCCACTAAGCCCAAGACTTAAGTGCAGTTGGCTTTTCTTTTTTTCTGCATGGAATCTGTGCTGCAAGCATAATTATTCAGTGTTGGCTAATGCCGCAAAAAAGTAGCAAAGCTGAGCTTGAGCACGAGCCATGCCGTGGCCAGAGAATGCAAATTCGTGCGTAATTTACTGCTGCAGCGGGTATTTCTCCATGGCACAGGACATGTGTGCAATTTATAAAAACTTATCGATGTCATCAATCAACTGAGATTGCCTCTGAGTGTCTGTATAAGTGTGATATGCTTGACCTCAGCTTCACAGTTGCTGTCTGAGCAGCAAAGACTTCAAATACTAGAGAACTTTATTAAGTGCACAGCATCTCCTGCCCGGATGTCTTTTCACAAACTTTTTGCGCCATAAGGGAAAAAATCGAAATAAGATAGAAATAAAGGAAGCAAAGGCAGACACACACACACACACATACATACGTACTGTGCTGTAGCTGCACAGGACATGGAATTGTAATTGAAATTGAGCTTAAATGCAATCGAATTGAAAGCGTTTCTAGTGCCCGTTATCAATATGTTTCCAATTGACTTTTGTTAATATCAAGCAGAAATTTTCCAATGTTATCGGAGAGCCAAACGGCACTCGTTCAAGCACTTTGAAAAACTATATTTCAAGTGGTTTTGCGAAAGGAAAGATAAAGCAGGAATGAGCATTTATCACTATTAAATGAGGGCATATGGTCATAGGTATTTGAGTGTATCGAATGTAGAGCAACGAGAAGAGATTTTATTGAAACTTGATTTTAGAATGTATTGCTTATGACTGGATGTTTTATTAAGTCTCTTTTTGAGAGTTTTGAATAGCATTTTCTATTTAGTTAATTTTTCTTGTCCCTCACATTAATGTTAGCTTCTCTCTCATTCAGGCTCTCTGAATAGTCTCACTGGGCGTTGTCGGAAGCCTGAGAATAACTGCTCAACTGTGTGTGAGGGTGTGTTTTTGTATGTGTGGGCATTGGCAAACGATCGATCAGTGAGATTGAGGACTATTGCACACATTGTCATAGTCAGTCTTAAAGAAGAAGTCTTAGGGAGAAGTTGTGAGTGATGTGCCCAAGGCAAGGCCAAGCTTAGGATGGCAACATAGCATAAACAGAGGGCACATTTCATATCGAAATGGAATACTGATCAGATAAAATTCACAGGCTGCTAACATAAAAATGATTCAAACGAAATATAAAAAATTAATAAACAAAAAATATAATTAAAAAATAAATTTATTAATTAAAAAATAATAATATAAATCACTAAAATAGATTTTATATTTCAAAACAAATTAAAACTTAAATAGATGCTCATAGAAATTTTGCTATTCATCAACTCAAATGAAACATCAATAATTTTTATAAATTTTATGCACATTAAAGTCATATGTAAGCAAAAAACAATTTTAATCCCAAGTCTGCAACAAAATGAACTTAGATACCAAACTTAAACTTCAACTTCAACTCTTTTTTACATATATTTTTATGCTCCTTTATTTATATCTGTGGTATTTTCACAGCATATGCTGCGAATGGCGTTAGTTTTAATGCAATTAATTTTCGCTAGCAACGCTTGAAAATTGCGTTTCAGCAGAAGTGGAGCTTTATAAAGTCGGCATTATAACTTTAAAACAAATTAACTAAGCGGCCACAACTTGCAGCTTGTGCGGCTTCCATAATTAAACACCTCAAAGAGGAAAAGGATGCCCCGCCCAGGCTGAGGCAGCAGCAGAGGCTCCCGAGGCGCACTCGACACTTTCCACTCAACGCAAGGAGCGCAACTGAAACTTGCTCGAGTCGAGCCGTGGCTGGTAACAAGTAGGCAAAAGTACAAGTACTATTTAAAACAACAGCGAAAAAAATAATTTAAGAATAAAATATGCTGAATTCTCCAGGCAGCAACAGCAGCTGGAGCTGGAGCTGGCAGCAGCAGGAGCGGAAGTCAAGCTGCCTGGAGGCCAAGTTAAATATGAAGAGCGCAAAAGGATGCTACACAGAGATAGGTAGCCAGCAACACGCAACCCTTTTCTCAACGTTGTCCTTGCTTTATTTTTATTTGATTCAACTGGCTTTTCATACCCTACAAATTGGCTTAAAAAGTGCGTTGCAACAAATGGCAGTGATTGAAAGAATATCTCAATTATATGAATTTCTAGAGACAGTAAATAATAATAATAAATATATAAAATGAAAATAAATAATAAAATTGCCAATAGCTTTGACTAATTAAATCAATTACATTCTCACTAACTAAACTAAGTCTAACTCTATTTAGTAAGATTCTCTGCATTTTAAATTATATTGACTCGACCTGATCGAAAATTGCAATCATTACTTTTAGAGGCTACTACTTAAGATCTATCAGGCCTACTAAAAAGCACGACTGTATATCAATAGAATTATTTTTTAAATATAATTAGGTTGTTCATCCAAAATATACATATCTTAAATCTAATAACTCATAGAATATATCTATTGCAATATAATATTTAAATATATATTAGAATATCTTTCTTTTAATTCCAACAAATCATTGGAAATGTCTTTTTTAAATCACAGATTTCTTGGCTAGGGTATCAACTCTTTCACAAACTAAAATCCTTTGCATTTTTCAAACTTTTTTTTATTTTTGTTTTATTTCTATTTTTATGTTTTTTTTTTTATTTATTTTTTTATTTTATTTTATTTTATTTATTTTATTATTTTTTTTTTTTTGTAATGATTGCAGCGCATTGAAAGTTGAAAATTAGCATTCTTATTCGGTGCCTTGGCACATTGTTGACAAAACTGAGCCAACTTCTGGCTAACTGGCCAAGTGGACTGGTGACTGGGTCAAGATTTCCCTTTCATTGGAGCGTAAAAAAAAAGTCGGAGAATTGCCACTTACCAATTAACAAAAGTTTCCAAATATGCATTTGTATGTCGAATGCTGTTGAGTCCATTCAAATTAGAAGCAGACAATTTTGAAGCCACGCCTCCTCCAGCTGCCAATCCTTAAGATACTCTCTCTCTCTCTCGCTCGCTCTCAGTTGGAGTGTTGCTGCTTGTGCGTGTTTTTGGCTGGTTTTTGTTTTTGTTTGCTCCTTATGCCCTGCACAAATGTTGTTGCCAATGGATTTGTTCAGCTAGTTGGGGCCAGGGCGTTGGCAGCAGCATTTTGTCCAAAAAGTTTTTGGCTTTAATTGTTGCATTCGCTTCAGACGGCAACAGCAACACTAACAATGAGAGCTGTGGCAATTAAACTTCCAGTTCGTTGGCTGGTTGGCTGCTTGCCTCGGTTGGCAATCGTGCAGCAAATTACTGACCCCGTTTAGATGTGACTATCTTCGTTTTTATTTCTGTCTCGCTCACCCACACTTTCTCTCTTTCTCTCACTTTTCTTTTTCGCAATTTTATGCAATTTTCTGTGGCAATTTTATGTTGCAATCAAAGTGCCTGCATTTATCTGCTGTGGCTTTAATTTTTCGAATTTCTTTCAATATTCCTTTATTTTTTATCTTTTCGGTTTGCCTCTAATGTCTGCAGCTAATGGAATTGTAGTGGGTACGCTCTTGCCAATCTAACTTATTGAGGAGCTGCAATGAGATGGCGAAGAAATAGACATTAGTATTTGCAGATAGGGTTTGGTGTAAAAATTTATGTATTGTTTATTTGTCCGTATAATTTATCCAATAAGAGAGCTTAATTTGTCTAACTGCTTCCACATACATAAGTAATCAGAAATGTAAAAATCGCAGAATTTCGCATACATAACATGAATCATAGGAGGATATCATTTCGCCAGAAATGAGCATTATGTACGACTTACTAATCAAATGAAATACATACATAATCCACTCCCCATTAATGTTCTCAAGTTCCACGCAAATTAAAATAAAAGCATACTCTCAAGAATTCGCTATACAAAAAATAAAAAATATTAACGTAAGCTTTAATTACACTAATAATCTTTTTAATATAATATAATAATAAATAAAAATAAAAAAATAAAAATAATAAATACATACGAAATAAAACAAAAAATATCAGTTAATCTTTACATGATTAATTAAAATTAAAATAAATAATTTGTAAATTGTTAATTATATATTGCTCAAAAATATATGTATATGCACATAAAATTATTTATATCTTTTATTTAATTTTAATTTTAATTTTTTTTTTTTTTTTTTTTTTCTCTTCAAAATATTTCCTTTTACTCCAATAAGCCCGTATTCATTTCCATATCATTGCACAAATATCTGTATTTATGCGCCTCTCTGCCTCGCCCCTCTCTGTCAAGAATTTTAAGTGCTCACAATCGATAGCTATTGACCATATCAACTCAGAGCAGCTCAGTCGGCTGACAGCTTCATCCCGAAACTTTCATTAAACCAACAAGATATCATTTATAGCTTTTAAGGTTTATTTCATACTTTAAGTTCGTACAGCGACACATTTTTTACATCATTTATTTAAATGCTCAATAAAAATTTGTGTTGTCATAAAAAAAAAATACAAAGTGTAATAAAAAAGCAGTAAATGCGACATGTCGAAGCTTAAATACTCTTGTAGACAAATGTCATGAAAGTGGATTTGTTTCAGACATTGACTTGAGCGACAGATGTGAGACAATTATATATACGTGCCTCTATGCATTAGTATATATATATTTGTGAACATATCTATACATAAATACCAAGAAATATATAATGAAAATTTAGAATCTTTGCGTTTAAAGAAATTTTTTTGGAAGTTGTATTATATAGCCTTGGTAAACTATGCAGCTCTTATGGCTATGATGGAATGAACTAATATTATTCAACAAGTTAGAATGGAGTCCATTCATACTTCATCTGATTATCAAGGAAGATATGCTTCAACAATTCCCTTGCGAATCCGAATACCCTAGCCTCAAGTTCAAACCAAATAAAGTTGCAACAGCTTCATCAAATCATAGAATCATCCATAGTGTATGGCAAACATAATGCGAGTGATTTAATTTATGGCACTTTGTTTTTATTTATGTGTGTCTATTGGTTAATTATGCGTGCTCCACACACAAAGGCAGCTCTGGCGCACTGGATGATTGTTGCTGATCCAGAATGCCCTATCAAATATTGTCACAATAAATATTGCAGCAGAGCGAAAATAATTAATGTAAATTTTTTATGCACACCACCAGGCGACAGCAGCAACAACAACAAGAACAATAAACGGCGTCAAACTGAAATATTAAGTTCGATAAATACCAAAAGAAATATTTAACAAAAATAAAAAAAATAGTTTAACAAATTTGCGCACATTTTTCTGCAATTAAAAATGAAAAGCAAAAACAAAGAAAAATTAATAACTGTGTAAGCAAAATATTTCGTAATTAAATAAGTCATTTGCATAGCTGGTTAAAGTCAAAGCGAATTGAAATTCCAAATTTAAAAAACAGTTAACAGGTAAAATAAAATATATGACGAATACCGAGAGAGTGTTAAACTCTCGCCTTGGCTTAAAATTGTAAATATTATAACGAAGCCGCTCGAGTGGAGCAACTAGGCTGACAATCAGTAAATTCCTGAAATTCGCATTTGAAATATCGTCAGAAAAAATATGCTTGGAATTGCGATTAAATTGTCGAAAGGTTGCCGGGTAGCCTGGTTGCCTGGTTGCCTGGCGTACCTCGCTTTAAGGCTTAAACCAGAAGCAGCCATCAATTTCGATCGGCTGACGGTGGGAACTGGCATTGGTATGCAGCCATTTTGCTTTTGTAAAATCCGGAACATTACAATGTGGAATCTCATCTCATCTCAATTCAACTCATCTCGTCTCGTCTCGTCTGCTCTAGTCTCGTCTTGTGTCGCCTTGTCTCGCCGCATTTCAGTGCTTGCAAATGCCGAGCCGTCGCTTTTGTGCACTGAATTACTTTTCTTGACGTTTTGTTTGCTAACAACCGCAAAAGACAATGGCATGCTCTGTGTATATGTCTGTGTGAAGAAAATTACGCAATACACGCACACACTTACTCAGACACACACACACACTTACAGACATTCCCATGTCACTCGGCTGCTATTTAATTTATGAAGTAGAGCGCGTAAAAATTGTGCATTGTGGCAAAAGTTGCAGCGTTGCCCAACACTGGTAAAACGGCTGGCGAGGGCAAGTCGTTTCCTAAAAGGGGCAGCCCATGGACCAAGGGGGCGTGTAGTATTTTAGTGGGAATGGTTATCATATACTAAATGCATTTTTGTTTCTGCCCAACAAAGGACAGTTTAGAAATCAGTCAGACGGCAGCGACTTTCGCATTGTATTCGCCTCTATTCGGTAAATGTAAGCTCCATAAGCTAAGTACTTTCACATACATATATACATTTTGTTATATACCCAACTAGTTGGCAATGACTAAAAACCATGACTTTAATATTTTATCAATGGAACAAAACAGAAAAAAAAAAAAAAAAAAAAACATTTAAGTGGCTTAGAAACCAAAAAGTTTTACTCTTTCTTTCTGTAGCCAACTGAAATGGGATTTTGCCTGTTGGATTTAAATAAATGACTTTTTGCGATTATGTGAATAATGTAAAAAATAAATAAAGGAAATATAGAAATAAATGTTACTTATTTCCGTGCATATTCGCAGGCCGAAAAGAGCTTTAAATCAAAATAATGTACTACTGCTATTTCAGCAAGAATTAAAAAAAAATATATATATATATTTTTTTTTTTTTTTTTTTTTTTTTTTTTTTTTAATAATTTACTAAGATATTCTTCAAACACTTTTTTTTTATTAAATGAAAAATTTATCAAATGAAATTGTGAGTATTTTACTCAATTTGGTAACTAAATTACTCAAACTTTTTTATATGACACAAAATTGTTATTCTTAGTTAAAAAAATGACAAATATTATTGGAAAATGTAAAAATAATTTTATTTTTAAATGATAGTTCTTAATAATAGCTACCTTGTGTTCTTTGGGAAATCTTGTTGCATAATTTTTTTTATTTTTATTTTTTTAAACTCAACTTAATCATACGTAATTTCCTTGCAAGAAGAGTCTAACCAGATATTTATTCAATATTATTTACCCATTGCTATCAATAATGCTTGGGTCTTTTTTATTTGAAAGCTAGTTTCTTTCGCACGTCTCTTTCTATCTAAGCCATTTATCGGGCCACCTGCATAAGTTCACTCGCAACGACCTCACATATTTCGGGCATTAAATTGCTCTGCCATATAACACCAATTATGCAAAAAGTTTTCAGTACACACACACACACACATACACAGAGTGAGAGAGTGTTAAAACAAAGTTTTTGCTCAACTACTCGCAATTTGACGACATTTTTTTCTGTTTGCAGCAGATGTGTGCTGGGGCGCACGAGGTAGTGGGCGTGGCGTGAGCGTGGGTTAAACCTTCTCTATAAATCAAAAGTTATTAAACGCGCAACGTGCTTCCTGTTATACTCGATTTCACTCTGTGCCCGTTCAGCTGCTATCATCATCGCAAAAGTATTTTGTCTGTCAGTTCCAACTACTCCTCGCCCCGCCTCCGCAGGCTGCCAAATTAGTTTGACCGAAATTTACGCTTCGTTTCAGCACATTAAACGCTTTCTCATCTATCGACAGCGAGAGAGCAAAAAAAAAAAAAAAAAAAAAAAAGAGAGAATTAGCATTTGTCTGAGGCGGCGATGGCTGTGGCTGCGGCTGCGGCTGAGTGGGGTAAAATTAAATGCAGAAATTATTAACTGGCGCCATCTAGCGCTCGATTTCATTGCCAACTAATGTCGCTGCCGACCGCGGGGACGCGACAACTTTTTGATTATGATTATGCGGGCTGGGGCTTAATCAGCACGTGGCCTATGATAATTAAGCTGATGATATGCTGATACGATTATGTTAATCACGACGACGATGATGATTGTCGTCGTGTGATCCGAGCGGACACAGAACGTGCGGGGTCGCGCTAATAGTTTCCCAGTTAATAGTTCGGGCAAATTAATTCTGTGGTTTAGCTGGCGTGGCCACAGTTTGTTTGCCTATTGGCCACGCACTGGAGCCCAATCGATGAGACCTGATATATGTATGTAGTATATCACTGCAGTGAGTCAGTGATGCTCCACATTAAAAGCCAACTCATTCAAACAATTGACATGGCTATTGACACGTGTAATCCATCTCTATATATAAATATACCAGATGCCAGATTGAAAATAAAATGAGAAGAACTGGAAAAAACTTGACTAGACATTGCCCATGCCCAGGATATTTTTTAGACATCCTTTTTTTTTTTTTTTGGCATTGTCATGCTCAACGAGGCAAGAGTCTTGCCACATCACGTCGCGTCAACGAAACGCCAAACTCAAATATGTGTATAACTCGTACGACCAGAGAGACTATGAAGCTGCCAGCCCGCCTGCACAGGCCATGAAATATGACGCGTTCTGACGACATCCCACTATGATGTCGTATAAAACGCTATGGCCATGCATCTAGCATCGTTTCTCAGCGACTGCCTGCAGTCGCGCAGCAAGTGAAGTGAAATAGTTGCACATGTCAAATCGTCTTCAATATGCGCTACAGCCAAACAGACTGAGCAATTG